CTGGTCACTTTCTGGTTCTGGATCATACCTGCAAACCCTCTCAGGTGTTACGAAGTGTAATCGCTGATGAACTGATTCTGTCTCATTGACTCTTTCCAAAAGTCCCAGGAAGAAATCATTTTATTTTATTTTATTTTGAGATGGGGTCTCACTCTGTCACTCAGGTTGGAGTGTGGTGGTGTGATCTTGACTCACTGAAATCTCCACCTCCCAGGCTCAAGTGATTCTCCCACCTCAGCCTCCCACAGTGCTGGGATTACAGGCATGAGCCACCGAGCCCAGCCCAAATTTTCTTAATGAACGGTAAATTTGATTTTCTTTTTTTTTTTCTTTCTTTTTTTTTTTTGAGGCAGTGTCTCTCTGTGACCCAGGCTGTAGTGCCGTGGCACAATCACAGCTCATTACAGTGAGGACCCCCCTGCTCCCGCCGACCCAGGCTCAAATGATCCTCCCACTTCTGCCTCCCGAGTAGCCAAGACTACAGGTGCATACCACCACACCTGGCTAATTTTTGTATTTTTAGTAGAGATGGGTTTTTACCATGTTGACCAGACTGGTCTTGAACTCCTTACTTCAAGTGACCTGCCCACTTTGGCCTCCCAAACTGCTGGGATTAAAAGTGTGAGCCACCATGCTGGCCCCACCTCCAAATGTATATGTTGAAACTCCAAACTCCAATGTGACTGTATTTGGAGATAGGGACTCTATGGAGGTAATTAAAGTTAAATGAAGTCATAGGGATGTGGCCCAAATCTGAGTGTACTGGTGTCCTTATAGGAAGAGGAAGGGATATCAGAGCCCTGTCTTTCTAAGAGCACTGAGGAAAGGCCGTGTGAGGACGCAGTGAGAAAGGGCTGTCTACGAGCCAGGAAGGGAGCCCTCAGCAGAACCTGAGCTTTGCAGGCGCCTTGCTCACGAACTTTTAGCCTCCAAGAACTGTGAGAAAATACATGTCTTGTGTAAGCCACTAAGTCTGTGGTATTTTCTTACGGCATCCAGGGCCCACTAAAACAGGTAAATACCCTATGGTAAATATATGTTTAATTCTTAAGAAACTGCTGAACTGTTTTGTCGAGTGGCTGAACCATAGCAGGGTTCCCACTCGCAATATACAAGAGTTCCAGTTGCTCCACAACCTTACCAACATATGACATGATCAGTGTATTTTCCAAGAAGTTTTTGTGTTTTTAATGTGGCTTTGTGTGTGCGTGTGCATATGTGCTATGTTTTGTAGGTAGTAATGTCTAAGGAAGCAGTTTAAAGGTGAAAATCCGTATTTAAAATGTGATCTAATGAGAGCCCATCCATCTTTGGGTTGCCCATACCTCATTTCTGTGTTCTGGTCTTCTGGCTGCATTCTATTCCTAGAGCCATGTACCCTGAGCTCAGCCAGCTAGCAGATCTGGCAAATTACAGTCCTCATCTGAGGTAAATCCACTGCTGGGAGTTGAGGAAGAGGTTGGGTGTGGACAGGGCTGGATTCATGGGCCTTGTGCTTCATCTAAAGTTCTGCTGTCACTGTCTTGAAATTCTCAGTCATTTTGAACAAGGAGCCCAAATTATTATTTTGCACTTTGTCCAACAGATTATGTAACTCATCCTGGATGTGTCAGGGAGAGGTGGTCACAGGCAAGCCAAGCCTTCTTTTTAAAGAAGATTTTTAAATTAAGAGAAGGTCTGTTTACTAAGACAGCCTATTTACTAGGCTGGAGGGCACTGGCACAATCTTGGCTCACTGCAACCTCCATCTCCTGGGATCAAGCCATCTTCCTTCCTCAGCCTCCTGAGTAGCTGGGACTATAGGCACGCCCCACCATGCTCATCTAATTTTTGCATTTTTTTGGTAGAGATAGAGTTTTACCAAGTTGCCAGGCTGGCCTCAAGCTCCTGGGTTCAAGTGATCCACCTGCCAAGGCCTCTCAAAGTGCTAGGATTACAGGCATGAGCCACTATGCCCAGCTGCAAGCCAAGGTTTCTTACATGCTCATTTTGTAAAGACTCCCTTGTCTAATCCCATGGACCATCCCTCTAAACTGGTCCATGCACAATCCTAGGGTTTCTCGTCTGGCTCCTGGGTGCTCCTGCTGCCTATCTCTTGGGCTGACTTGGGTTAAGCATGATTCATCTGGAGGCTTCACAAGAGGATTGTTGGCCCTGGATCCCAATATCCAAATGAGGATTAGCCTCAAATAGGGCATCTTAATTGGAAGGTAAATGAAACCTCCCTCTTCCCTCCTGACAGCCCCAAAGTGTACTTTGGCATTTATATGCGAGAGGTAAATAGGCACAATCATGTCTTCTGAATTGTCACTCTGCCAGGCCCTGCTGGCAAGAAGCTTGTTCAAAGAAAGTTGAACTGGAGTTTCGTGGCTTTCTTGCAGGTCACTGAATGTGCAGGCCCAGGGAGGAGGAATGGCACTCACCAGAGGCAGGGTCAGAAAGGGGCTTGGAGTGGGAAGGTCACAGGCTCTGGAGGCAGTGGGGATTATGCTTGCATCCTGAGCTGGCGGCTTATTAGGTTTGTGACTCCGGGTAACCGACCCTTAACCACTCTGGACTCAGTGATTTGAACTCTAAAGTGGGATTAATGATACTTCCTTGTAGGACTGTGTGATTATGCGGAGTAACCAAGAAGGTCTGTGTAAAGTGTCCAAGGCCGGTATGCACCTGCCCTCCGCAAGTGAAATCCGAGTCAATGTCACCTTTGACTGCTGTGTGCATACACAAAGAATCATTGTAAATGTACTTCTCTGAAAAGCCGCTTCACAGTCCTGCATGACCCTTCTTCTAGCTTCCTAGGAGCTGGGTCAAGATTATCAGTCCCCTACTAGAGTTAGGAAAAGGAATGCTAAGTGATTGGGAAATAACACAGGGTCAACTACAGAGCACAGGAGTTCCGAACTCCAGTTCCGTACAACAGTAAGCTTCACTCAGGAAGTATTTACATGAGATCGCTCACCGCTGCAAAAACCTTTACCCATGAGTCCCAGATTAAAAACGCAACAACAGCCTACAAACTGGATAACATCTGTCATGGTATGTGAAGATAGCCTGATGGGGTCTTTAAAATACCTAAGATTGGCCGGGCGCCATGGCTCATGCCTATAATCCCAGCACTTTGAGAGGCCGAGGCGGGCGGATCATGAGGTCAAGAGATCAAGACAATCCTGGTCAGCATGGTGAAACCCTGTCTCTACTAAAAATACAAAAATTAGGCCGGGCGTGGTGGCTCAAGCCTGTAATCCCAGCACTTTGGGAGGCCGAGGTGGGTGGATCACGAGGTCAAGAGATCGAGACCATCCTGGTCAACATGGTGAAACCCCGTCTCTACTAAAAATACAAAAAATTAGCTGGGCATGGTGGCGCGTGCCTGTAATCCCAGCTATTCAGGAGGCTGAGGCAGGAGAATTGCCTGAACCCAGGAGGTGGAGGTTGCAGTGAGCTGAGATCGTGCCATTGCACTCCAGCCTGGGTAACAAGAGCAAAACTCCGTCTCAAAAACAAACAAACAAACAAACAAACAAACAAAATTAGCTGGGCATGGTGGTGTGTGCGCCTGTACTCCCAGCTACTCGAGAGGCTGAGGCAGGAGAATTGCTTGAACCCAGGAGGCGGAGGTTGCGGTGAGACGAGATTGTGCCATTGCACTCCAGCCTGGGTAACAAGAGCGAAATTCCGTCTCAAAAAAAAAAAAATAATAATAATCCTATAAGATTAACATAGTGATAAAGAGAGTGGGTGCCTTACACCTGTAATCTCAACACTTTGGGAGGCTGAGTGGGCAGACTGCTTGAACCCAGGAGTTTGAGACCAGCCTGGGCAACAGGGTGAGAACCCCACATCCCCTCCCCTGGGATCTCTATAAAAAAGAGTATACAAAACTTAGCCGGGCATGGTGGCACACACCTGTAGTCCCTGCTACTTGGGAGGCTCAGCTGAGAGGATCACTTGAGCCTAGGTTGAAGCTGTGCTGCGCCGTAATTGTTCCACCGCACTCCAGCCTGGGCAACAGAGGGAGACCTTGTGTAAAACAAATAAAAAGAAAATAAAAAGGAAAATATAAGTGGTTGGGCCAGGCGCGGTGGCTCACGCCTGTAATCCCAGCACTTTGGGAGGCTGAGGCAGGCAGATCACAAAGTCAGGAGATCCAGACCAGCCTGGCCAACATAGTGAAACCCTGTCTCTATTAAAAATACAAAAATTAGCTGGGTGTGATGGCGCGTGCCTGTAGTCCTGGCTGCTCGGGAGGCTGCGGCAGGAGAGTCACTTGAACCCAGGAGGCGGAGATTGCAGTGAGTCAAGATCATGCCACTGCACTCCAGCCTGGTGACAGAGCGAGACTCCATCTCAAAAAAAGAGACTGGAAGGCAGAGGACTTGGGTTCAAATTCCAGCTCTGCTATTTCCTGGCTGATAAAACTACCTCAGATAAATTACTCAATCTCTCTGTGTCTCGGTGTCTCCATGTGATAAATGAAGATCAAATAATACACCTACTTCTTAGGATTGTAAACAAGATAATGGGTGTGAACTGTGCTGAGCACAAAGTAGCACCTAGCATCTACTAGCTAGTTATTTTAATGACTTACCTGTTTGGATAACTCCGAGAGTCCACAGTCCTAAGACTCTCTATTCCTCAATACTGGGTGGAGTTGGCATTCTAGGTTAAAGGCTGGTCTCTAAGTGGAGGCTTCCTTGAGTCCCAGGAACTGAATGTGGCCCTGAGATATGGAGGGAGGCCACAGCCTGTTGCATAGTGACAGAGCTTGCTTTGCATAGATAGAGACTGGTGTTTACAGGTAACTAGGAGGTGGTGGTGGGGTGATTTGTAAGTTATAGATTAAACAAAAGGGAATTCTTCTGATGGAATGAATGAGGCACAGTGCCTGGAATTGGCCAGGTTAGCCCGAAGGGCAGCCCTCCAGGCCCTGCCCACCATACAGGAGGCTCCTTATGCACAGGGGGCGTCTGCTTGTGGCCATAGAAACAGAACCAGCTCTTTTCAACAGAGCTCCGAGGACGGTTATTTAACGCTGGCCCCTGAGGATCCGCCACACAGACCTTCTTCGTTCCGGAACGTCCAAGGGCACTGGATCCTCTGTGTCCCTCTGAGATGGGGTGCCACGCCAGCAAGACCACCACGGTGGCAGCTGAGTCCCAGAAGCCTGGAGAAGAGTGTGAGGGAGGAGAGCCAGGTCTGGAAACCAGCACCCAGGCAGCAGACTGCAAGGATGCCCCACTAAAGGATGAAAGCCCTGAGCCAAAGAACTGAGATGCGTCTCTCTCCAGAGTTGAACCCTCACCTCCTTCCTGGAACTGCCTTTGGCCTGTGAACCTGAGAAAATCACCACCCTGAGAAGCTCTGATCACTGGGAGGAGAGAGAAAGCCTCCAGCTTTGGGATTCAGGCTTCAGACGTTTTAGCAGCCTTTACTCATCATTAAAGGGGTGGGGAGGATGAGTCTATGAGGAATCCTATTTCCCCAGCTCTCCCACACATTGTGGAACTTTCCTGCAACTACTGGATGCAGACAAGCCTCAGAGCAGATTGTTCTGGCTCCAGTGAATACCTGCTGCCAGGCTGTGAGAGTGATCCTTGCCTGCCTGGCTTCCCTGAAGTCAGGAGCTACCTTGGTTGTAATGTGTGGGGTGTGTGGATGCCAGTTTGCTGTTTCTTTCTCCTTTCTGCAACAGCTGGCGGAGCAGCCATCACCCCTGACGGCAACGTGTTGCACTTGGCTCACTCCACACCGTTTCTATGAATAATTTAATATCTAACTTGAAATGTTGTTAAGGAACTATGGAAAATATCAGGATCTGACTGGGATCCCGTAAATGGAAGGTAACAAGGCCTCCAGTAAGTGGGACATAGAGCCCTAGTGGGAAAGAAAGCAGAGAGATTTGTGTTCCTGGCTCCTAATCCCCCGGAAAAAGGTCCCTCTGCTAACATGCATTTATCTCTTCATAGCCAAAGTGTCCGTTTCAGCCCTCTAGCATCTGAGCTATCTGCATCCAGCTTTCAAAAATATTTCGCTGTTTACTAACATGTCTGTCAGCCTTTCTTTTCTCCTCCGCATGCGTTTTGTTTTCAATTCCACTCAAAAGCGTTTTCATCTGAAATCAAATAGACATGTTTGCAAATAAATGATGACACAACACATTTGAAAGACAGAATTGGGGATCTGAGATTAGAGGATCAGCAGGGAAGGGTGGGTGTAATTCTGTGGAACAGGAGTGAGAAGAGAGGCAAGGGAGCTGTTGCTTTGCGCCAGGCGCCACGCTGAGAACTTTCCATAGAAAATTTAATGCCACCCAGCCACCCCCATTTTACAGATGAGGAAATGGAGGAAATAAAGTCACTTGCCTGAGTATGGGGAGCCAGGAAGGAGCAAAACCCACAGTTGAGCCCCAGCAGTGTGGCTTGGGAAATGCATATGGAGTGCTGCTTAAAATGCAGAGTCTTTCTCACGATTAAACTGAAATACGAGTTCCTTTAGAGCCTGTGCCTAGTGAAGACCATTTCTCTTTATTCACTGGGACATACCTGCCTATTGAGAGGTAGGTAACTGGTCAGCCTGGAGTTGCCCCACTGCAGGTGGAGTGATGCAATGAGGGCCTTTTTAGTTTTACTCTGATGGTGGGAGAGGAGGAGGGAGGAAGAGATGGAGAAGGAGGTGGGAGAAGGGAGGGAGAGAAGGAGAGGGAGGTGGAAGGAGGGAGGAAGAGAGGAGGGAAAGAAAGAGAGGGAGGGAGAGAAAAAGAGGGAAGAGGTAAGGGAGAGGGAGGAGGAGGGAGGGAGAAGGGGAGAAGGGAGGAGAGAAAGAAAGGAGGAGGGAGAAGAGAGGGAGGAAAAGAAAGAGAGGGAGATGGATAGAAAGAGAGGGAAGAGGTAGGGAGATGAAAGAGTGGAGAGAGGGAGAAAAGGAGAGGGAGGACGGGAGAGGAGGGGGTGGGGGAAAAGGGGTAGGGAAGAGGGAGGAAGAGAAAGAAGGGGAGAGGGTGGGTGAGAGGAAAGGAAGTAACTGAGGGAGTTGGAGGAATGAGGGATGAGGGAGGGAGAGAGGGAGGAAGAAGCAGTAAACTACTGCAAAGGACCCTTCTTTTTGGCCATAAAAACCTGAGAAACTGAATGAGATTCTTTTGAGCAACAAGGCAACTGTGGTGAGGAAGAAATACAGAGGGAGAGAGGCACGAGAAGCAAAGCAGTTCAGCCTGAAATTGACTACAGAGCTTCCCTCTGCTTCAGCAGAGCCCGGAGGAGCAGGAGGGATGGGGGCCCTGTCAGCTGGCCCAAAGCCCTGCCCTGTCCCAGGGGTGCTAAGCTTGCTGCAGGCCAGAAAACAGGCCTGGGCTTGCAGCTTGGGATCAGGAAGTTTGGGGCCTCTTTGCACAGCTTACTACTGGGGATAGGCCAAGCTCTGGGAACTGCTTTCAGGTTTTTTTTTTTTTTTTTTTTTTTTTTTTTTTTTTGAAACAACTCTTGTTTTTCTCCCTCCTCCCTCCCAATGGAAATTCACCTTGCAAAACAGGACCATGCACGGTGAGAGCTGCTTCCAATGCCCACACTCAGGACTCTGTGGAATGAGTTCGCAGCTGGTGGTGAGGCTTTGAGGTGGGGCTGCCCTGATTTCACTAGCTCCTGAGGGGCAGAACTCACTCAGCTTTTTACCAAATCAAAGGAAGGACGCTTTAGGTTCTTAGAAGTTCAGAAACTGGGTGGTTTGTTTTGCTTCCTTTTGGAATGGAGTAAAATGCTCATTTAATTAAATTCAAGTTCTCTGAGGGCTTTTAAAAACATAATTCTTCATTCACCTCCAGCTGTGGCAGCCATGCTGCAATTTACTAGCAAGTTAATCTGTAACAGAAGACAGCACCCAGTTTCCTTTTAAGGACATTCCAGTTACCCACTGGAGACTGAGGATCACTCATCTGTCTCCCTTTGAGGTTCAAGAATTTCTTAAGTGCCTGGTAAAAGTGGTCAGGATTATGTCTACTCAAATAAAACTTTAACCTCTGGAAAAACAGGCCTGCAAAGGCCAACTTTCCAAACTGCTGGAAGATGAGGGGTTTATTTATTAACTTATCTATCCATCCATCCCTTTTTCCTTTCTTTCATCCATCCATCTATCCATCCATCCTTCCATCCATTATCCATCCATCCATTCATCCATCTGTTCATCAGTCCTTCTGTCTTTCCTTCCACCTATCCATCTATCTTTCCATCCATTATTCATCACCCTTCCATCCATCCACCCATCTATTCACCCATCTGTTTGTCAGTCCTTCCATCTTTCCATCCATCCCTCCCTCCATCCATCCATCCATCCATCCAACCATTTATTCATACATTCAGCTCTTACCCTGGATTTTTAGTTACATGAGGCAATACATATTTTCCTTTTAGCCGATTGATTCATTCAAAAAATATTTGTTGAGTTTCTACTCTATCACTCATCATTCATTCATTCATCCCTGTGAGTGAGTTGAGTTTCTACTCTATCAATTTGTTGAGTTTCTGCTCTATTATTCATCATTCAGTCATTCATTTATTAATTTAGTGTTTACTGGGCAACTACTCTATGCCAGACTCCTTAGTGTTCAAAAATGTTCAAAAAGTGCCATCTTTGTGACAGCCTGGAACAGGGTAGTCCAGGGAAATCCTTCCAGTCTAGGTGACACCCAAGAGCATTCAAGAATAAGTTGGAATTAGCCAGACAAAGAGGATGGGTATTTCAGAAGGGAATGCATGACCCAGAGTTGGATACATGAACTGCATGGGGCACAATGTACAGTGTTGTAGGCGCCTAAGGTGCACATGGCACAGTGACAGGGAGGTAAAGCTTCGCAAGTAAAAAGGATCAAATACAAAAGCCTTGTATTTTATTCTGAGAGCTTGAGAGTTTATCCTGATGGGTGTAGTGGGGTGTCTTTCTGCAGAATGATGCTATGACATCAGTAGCCTTTGACTGCTTAGTATCCTATCTTTTAGTAGCAAATCTTATCTTTTCCTCTTGGGGAATCCTTTCCTTACTCTCAGTTTACATGATTGGGTGGGGCTGATCCCATTCTCAGACTTCAGGCTGAGCACTGCATAACCCCTGTCAAAGTAATGGGTTCAAGGATGATGTATGAACCCATACTAGTCCAATGAGACTCTTCTTTGAACTTTTCTTTTTCTTTTTGAGGTGGAGTCTCACTCTGTCACCCAGGCTGGAGTGCAGTGGTGCCATCTTGGCCCACTACAACCTCTGCCTCCCAGGTTCAAGCTATTCTCCTGCCTTAGCATCCCAAGTAGCTGAATTACAGGTGCCCACCACGATGCCCAGATAATTTTTGTATTTTTAGTAAATGTGGGGTTTCTCCATGTTGGCCAGGCTGGTCTCAAACTCCTGACCTCAGGTAATCTGCTGCCTTGGCCTCCCAAAGTGCTGAGATCACAGGTGTGAGCCACTGTGCCCAGCCTTCTTCAACTTTCAATTGAAGCAATCAGGAAAGGAACATTCACCTTTTTTTTTTTTTTTTTTTTTTTGGCATTAATAAAATTATAAGAGTTAGCCCTGGAAACTCTTAACCACTGGGGAGAGCCTGCTTGAGAATGAAGCCACAGAGCGGAGTGGAGCGGCGTGGAGAGAAGGAGAGACATTGTCTTGATGAACTTGTCTGGGCAACTGGATCCAGCCATGCCAGAAGCTGATTCTTCCCCTAGATGATTCACATGAGCCAATAAACTCATTCTTTTTGTTTGTTTGTTTGTTTACAGTGGTTTGAATTTGGTTTCTGTCATTTTCAGAGGGTTCTGAGTAAATCAGATCAACTTAGATTTTCATATTCGATAGAGCACCCTGGTAACTGTTTAGGGGATGGAGTTGGCAGGGATAAAGCTAGAAGCATGAATACCAGTTAGAAGGCAACCTAGGAAAAACAGATGCAAGAAGGGGCAGGATTAGAGGGAAGATGAGAGGTTGAGTTTTAGAGGAGTTGAGTTTGAGATGCCCATGGGACAAGATATAAATAATGACTGCAAACGCTTATATTACTCTTACCTCGTCTAAGCATTGTTCCAAATGCAATATATATAGAGCTCATTTAATCCTCACCATCACACTAGACTCATTTTATAGATGAAAACACAGGCGGTTTTAATCCATTCACTGACCCCTAACTTGCTCCTTGGCTATAAGTTCCCACACTTCTTTGTTGTGTTCTGAGTTAAGCCCAATCTGTCTCCCCTACAACAAAACCCCATTGTAGTATAAGGGAGACAGGGGGTGTGATGGTTAATTTTATGTATCAAGGCTGGGTGCAGTGGCTCACTCCTGTAATCCCAGCACTTTGGGAGGCTGAGGTAGGCAGATTACTTGAGGTCAGGAGTTCGAGACCAGCCTGGCCGAGATGGCAAAACCTCGTCTCTACTAAAAATACAAAAATTAGCCAGGTGTGGTGGCATGTGCCTGTAATTCCAGCTACTGCTCGGGAGGCTGAGGCAGGAGAATTGCTTGAACTGGGAGGCAGAGGTTGCAGTGAGCCTAGATCACGCCACTACCCTCCAGCCTGAGTGACAGAGTGAGACTCTGTCTCAAAAAAAAGGTGTCAATGTAACTTGGCTAAGGGATGCCCAGCTAGCTGGTAAAACATTTCTGGGTGTGTCCAGGATGGTGTTTCTGGAAGAAATTAGCATTTTAATCAGTAGACTGTGTCAAGAAGACCCACCCTTATCAATCTAATCCTTTGAAGGTCTGAACAGAACAAGGTAGAGAATTCTCTCTTTTCCTGAGCTGGGACATCCATCTTCTCTTGCACTCAGACATTGGAGCTCCTGGTTCTTGGGCTTTCAGACTCCAGGATTTAGAGCAGTGGCCTCCCTGGTTCTCATGCCTTCAGCCTCAGACTGAATTACAGCACGGGCTTTCCTGGGTCTCCAGTGGACCAATGGCATAGCCTGGGACTTCTTGGCCTCCATAATCATGTGAACCAATTCTCATAATAAATCTTCCCTTACATATCTCTATATTTTCTGTTGGTTCTGTTTCTTTGGAGGACCCTGACTAATGAAGGATGTTAACCAGGTCTTTCAGCTCTCAAGGACACAACTGGGACATGAGCTAGGCAGTTTGCCTTTAGAGGCTGAGACTTGAGGAATTCATTCGGGAGTGTGGGAACCCTTTTGGACCTCTAGAGTTGCTGTAAAGGTTATTTTAAGGTGAAAATATTTGACCTGCAAAAGATGCAGAAATAACTCTTTATCTGAACTAAAGCACATCTGACTAAAGCAGAGCCTTCCAAAATTACAGCCCCATTAACCCCCTCTGGCAGAGTTTTCTGCAGATTTAGCTGCCAAGAAGACAGATTGCCCATTTATTAGCAACAAAAAGCCCACTAGGACCTTCCACACTCCCTCATCGAAGCCCTAAAAACCTCTTTCTTTTGTTAGATTGATAAAATGAGCCTTTCCTTTGGGCTATTCTGTGAAACTCCCACATATGTAGGTGGGAAAAAATTTTTGTTAATCTATCCTTTCTCAGTTGAATTTGTAGGCCCCAAAATGCTGGACCGAAGTTGGAAGAGGAAGAATTTTCCTCCCAACAGGGTCATCAGAACACAGCGGCAGTTAAAGCCCTTGTTGACCTAAGGGAAGAAGCTGAGGCATAAAACATAATTTTGGGGCTGGGCGCGGTGGCTCACGCCTGTAATCCCAGCACTTTGGGAGGCCGAGGCGGGTGGATCACGAGGTCAAGAGATCGAGACCATCCTGGTCAACATGGTGAAACCCTGTCCCTACTAAAAATACAAAAAAAATTAGCTGGGCATGGTGGCGCGTGCCTGTAATCCCAGCTACTCAGGAGGCTGAGGCAGGAGAATTGCCTGAACCCAGGAGGCGGAGGTTGCGGTGAGCCGAGATCGGGCCATTGCACTCCAGCCTGGGTAACAAGAGCGAAACTCTGTCAAAAAAAAAAGAAACCAACAACATAATTTTAAAGAGTTTGATGGAGCCAACGTGAGGACAGCTACCTGGGAAACACTTTCGAGTTGCCTTGGGCAGTGTTCTTTTCAGCCTCTGTTACAGTCAGGGTTTGAAAGGCAAAAGGGAACAAGGGGTGGGAGGATCCAAAGTTGTTTGACAGGAATTCTCATTGGCTTACAGAAATAACATTGGTTAGCTTTAAACGTTGAACTATAGGGTATGAGTTATGGTGTCCAGACATTATGAGGTTAATTTTATGGCTGTTTGGCATCAATCTACAGCCCACAGAGCAAGTGGTTTCAAGAGGTGATTACTTGATTCAAGGCAGGAGTGAGGTGTGGCTGCTGCCACGCTTCAGTGCCTCTCTGGGTCTGATGATTAGAGGGCTGGCATTTGTAGATGAAAAGTTTCTTTTCTTTCTTACCCTGCAGTAGATAAGGTGCCCGCATCCTCTCCCCACATACATAGACCCTAAGGGGAGGCACTACCTAGAGCAGCAGAGCATCTATCAAGGAAAAATCTCTGGAAAAATCAACATGTAAAGGGCAGGTGGAGTAGCTAAGCTGGAGATGAGCCAGAGATGGACTGGGGGTTGGATTGATGGGAGACGGTGACCAATGGCTTCCACTCACAGAACATTCACCAAGTGCCAGGTATTGCACTCAGAGATGCTTTACAGATGTTACCTAATTTGCTCTTCACAAAAGCTCTACAAGGAAGGTAAAATTCATACCTTAAGGGTGAGACAGCACATTTATGAAGGTTGTATGTATTTCCCTAGGTAACATAGCTAGTTAGTGGCAGAACAAGAATTTGAACTCTAAAGGCCAGGGTCTTAACCACAACAGTGCATTGAATAGTCTCCTCCCAAAGTTCATGTCCATCTGGGACCTTTGAATGTGACCTAATTTGGAAATTGGGTTTGAACATGTAACCAAGTTAATATGTGGTCGTGCTGGATTAGAGTGAGTCCTAAATCCAATGACTGGTGTCTTTTTTTGTTTTGTTTTGCTTTGTAGACAGGTTCTCACTTTGTCACCCTGGCTGGAGTGCAGTGGTGACAGTTGGGATTAGGGGTGATCCACTTATGGCTATGATCATGGCTCATCGCAGCCCCAACTTCCTGAGCACAAGTGATCCTCCCACCTCAGCCTTCCAAGTAGCTAAAACTACAGGCATGTGCCACCATGCCAGCTAATTTTTATTTTTATTTTTGTAGAGATAGGGTCTCACGATGTTGCCCATACTGGTCTCAAGTTTCTGGGGTCAAGTAATGCTCCTGCCTCAGCCCCCTAAAATGCTGGGATTATCAGTGTGAGCCACCACATCTGGCTGACTGGTGTCTTCATAAGAGAAATGAGCAGACTTAAACACAGAGGCATAGAGGAAGAAGACCGTGAGAAGATGGAGGCAGAGATGGGAGTGATGCTGCCACAAGCCAAAGAACAGCTGTTGACAAAGACTCCTTTGACCTAATTTTGATCACACTCCTCTAAGCCCTCAAGGCCCTGACCTTAGTCTCTGCATCTGGAATGTGTAGTCTAGTTTAGCTGGATCGATTTAGTGAAAATCCCCCATTCTTGATATCTCATCCAATTCCTCATCCCCCACTCTCAATATCTTACCCTGGCCCGCCTTCAGTCTTGCTAGACTGACACTGAGTTAGTCTAGCACGAATATCCCTTTATAGGCTGAGTGTCGATGGCTTATGCCTGTAATCCCAGCACTTTGGGAGGCCAAGGTGGGAGGATTTCAAAGTCTGGCGATCAAGACCATCCTGGCCAACGTGGTGAACCCCCGTTTCTACTAAAAATACAAAAATAAATAAATAAATAAATAAAATAAGCTAGATGTGGTGGCACATGCCTGTAATCCCAGCTACTCGGGAGGCTGAGGCAGGAGAATTGCTGGAACCAGGTAGTCGGAGATTGCAGTGACCCAAGATCATGCCACTGCACTCTAGCCTGTTAACAGAGCAAAACTCCATCTCCAAAAAGAAAAAAAAAAATACCCCTTTGTCTCTGATGTTTCCTCTCAGTGATTTTTCCATTTACAAATCCCCAGCTTGCTCCTTGGCTGTAAATTTCCACATTTCCTTGCTGTATTCTGAGTTGAGTCCAAACTCTCTCCCCTGCAACCAAACCCCGTTGTAGTAGTCCCCCTGAATAAAATCTTTAACAAGTGTCATGAAAATTCTTTCTTTAACACATGGACCATAAGAAGCTGGAAGAGGCAAGAAAGAATTTTTTCCTAGAGTCTTCAAGGAAGCATGGCCCCGCTGGCACCTCAATTTCAGACTTCTAGCTTTTAGGGCTGAGAGAGAATAAATTCCTGTTGTCATTCATTTTGTAGTACTTTGTTACATCATCCCTAGGAACCTACACCAACCCAGTCACCATGTCATCACTCTTCCGTAGAGGAGAATAATCTGAAGAGTGATGTCAACAAGTTCCAGAAGGAGAGATAGGAAACTGCCTTAGCAAACTTTGCCTTAGCAGAGAAATCTAACATAGCTGATTCTATCTTGCTTCTACCTTCACGAGTTAATTGTTTTTGCTCATCCCTGGGCATGGGCCACACTAACTATGGGAGTAATTTAGTTTATAGTTTAACTTTAAAATGAAGATGATAAGAATCTCTTCCTGAAACTAACCCCCTCCTTGCTTGGGGACCAGAACTGGCTCTATACAACTAACAAATTGGCCACAATATTAGAATTATAGTTTGAGAGTCATATAGACGGAGGTCATAAGATTTGTAACCTTCCAATTGCTTCTGTAGATAATGTCATTA